GCATTACTCATTCATTTATTATTAATTAATGTATGACTTATCTTCGAACCAAACGATCCGTAGTTTATCCAATTATATTGCCAAACTCAGAAGTAGTCTTCACGCCCTTTAGTATGCGCGTCTATTATTAGCTTGAAATTTAAGAGAACAATATAGTAACATTAAAAGATAATATAATAATACAAAAATCCAAAAAAATTCCAATAATATAATAACAAAATAATTGACCCAACAAGTTCCAAGTCGTTCTTTTCCCCTCTGATATTTTGTACTCGTTTTAAAATTTGACTAATTTAGATTCACGTTAAAAAGTCTTATTTTAGAAAATAAAACACTTCTTATCAGAGATGACTTTACATCCAGAACTCAAATCTGAAATCTATAATTAAAAATAATTGATTGCGTACTTAGTCCTTACTACTTATTACAATTTTCGATGGTCAAGTCATTTTTTGTTACATATATATAATCACAAAAAATCAGCATCTAAGGGTTTGCTCGTGTGATCAATAAAATAGTTGAGAATCATGAGGTTTATAGTTCAAATATATTCTTTAAAATTAATCGAGATATATAAAAATTGATTCGAACGGAGCGATCATCCAAAAAAAATAAATGACAATGCTACTTTTCCACTCTATATTGTCTTGGTCAAGCTTGCTGGAAAATGATGTTTTTTATTTCTACGTTGCATGGGTCAATTTTAAATCTATTGTATGTAATTTCATTTTCATTTTCAATTTTTTTTTGGTTGGTAAATATTTAATACAGTAGCCAGAGTAGACCAATTTTTTTCTTACCTAATTTCAACTTTTGATTATTTTTTTTTAATGATTTAATAGGTCATGAATATAATATAATTTCAATTCCAATTTGGAGACAAAATTGTGATAACGATATCAAATACTTAATTATTATTGTTTTACCAATGAGCAACTCGTGATACTATTATAATGTCAAGCAAAACAAATAAAGAACATTTACATATTATTTTTCTAATACAAAGTTATAATATTAGACATTTAAATTTTTCAAGTTTCAACTGCCCATTAAAATAATTTCCATTAACTCATGTTAAATCAATTGATCATTTTCTTTCCTATTAACTATATAATATATGTAAAACAAGATTAAAAAAATGGTTTGTTGACTCTATTGACCTAGCAAACAATAATAGAGAAGCTCACTTCTTTGACTACCATGTCAAACAATTAGATTCATTTGACTAGGTGCAATTTAGAGGGTCATGCTTCTTAGGTTTTTTCCTTTTCTATCCGATGTTCAAAATCCGTATTGATATTTCTATCAATCTGCACCACGTATGATCCATTAAAGAAGGAGGTGCTTATTATAAAAAAAAATTATATAAGACTTAAGCACGAAACTTTTAATTAAGTATAAAAAGAAAATGTCATGCATAATATTGACAAAACATTCTATTTATATTCTTTTTCAGACATCTAGTTGATTTTAATGAGCATAAAATCAAGCGAAGAGTCTAATTACATCTCGTAATATTTAAATTCACTATCTGATTAACTAATTTGAATCAAGTAGTAGATTGTCTTAGATGAGTTATAAACGGTTCCCTACTAACAAATATACCATTTTTAAGGGCTTGATTTCTAGAACTCTGAGTAAGATGAAGGGATTTCAATCATTATTATTATATATGTAAAACTACTTGTTATCAAAGACAGAATAATGATTTCACTTTTTAAGAATTTCTGCAACAACTTTAAATTAATAGATAATACTAACTAAATTTACAAATACATATTTATAATACTTAAAAGAAAATTTAATATATTATATATAAAATATCTTGATAAAAACTACTAAATTCACATGAATCTATAAGTAGTATTATAATCCTTTGATTGATATTGTTGGTTACCTAACTTTAATTAATTTTGTAGACTTGAATTGGATATGCAATTCTTATTGGGTGAGTTTAATATATAGTAGGCAACATGGTCCCTCAATGGCAACAAATACTCAAGTAGGGACCAAATTAGAGTGCATAAATTTTGAATTGAATTGCATACCGACAATTATAAGGTTTGGTAAGAAAAATGTTTAATTGAAAGAGCTTATAATTTCGAGATACATCATGTGAACCACTTTAGATATAGATAAATATATATATAGTGTGATTTACATTTATCTGGGATATATACAAATCTCGCTCACCTCTCTTCCTATATTTTGTGTATTTGGTAGCAAAATACATGTATCTAAGTGTATTGTCTTCAATATATGATAGAAAATTCATAATTAGTGATAATATATATAATATTTTGAAAATATATGTAATAATAACATATATAGTAGTGAACTATGTCTAATTATGTAGTTTTTCCAAAATATTTTAGATAATTTATTTTCATCAGTAAGTTGCGGCGTGCAAATCATGATATATATGTTGGTATGAGATAGCAGATGCACTGAAATAATCAAGGTTGCGTATAACCTAGTGATCAATGAAATAAGAATAAAATCGTAAAATCTTATATTTGAATTTTAGTGAAGGTAAAAATAATAAATAATTTCTTTCCATTATTTAAGTCTTATGCGATATTTATACTCAATGAAATAATCGAGGTATAAAAAATAAATATGTCTTCAAAGGAGTACTTAGGTGAATCACATGTAAATTTATCCACAAGCTACACATACATAGATTATACTCTAATAAATACTGATGTCATAGCAAATATTATCTGTAAAATATGTAGCAACAAAATAGTCCTTCACTGTTTAAGCTGTCACCTTAATTTAATGAATTATTTTTTGTTATGGAATTATTTTAAGTTTGTATATAACCTACTCCTTTCTGTCTTTTTCTTCAGTTTTTTTTAAAGGTTGTTTTATGTTTTATCTCAATAATTTATATATTAAAAAAAATAGGATAACAAATTGAGGAACTAGAAAAGCACGTGGAATGGACGCAACCTCGAGCTTAGGAATGCACGATTCTGGCTTTTGTTGGTGAAAAATAATTACGAGTGTTAAATAAGTACTCTTTTTTTCCAAATAATTATAATGGAGAACATAATTTAAGATCATGAAAATAGACAAAATAATAGAAATAATTTCTACAAGCACAAATTCCACTTAATACAGATTGTAATGATTTGTTGGAAGATTTGTCATCTTTCCAAATGACAAATTACCTCTTTTTTTAAAACTTTAATTAGTCTTCTAAATAGTCAAGTTGATTTAAATGTTTAAATTAGTGTTTCATTGAGCTTTATACTTCATTATTAATTGTTGGGGATTAGAGTAATTTAAAGGAACAAAAATAACTACTACATGTGTAATATTTCAAAAATAGATAACATTATCTTTTTAGCTTTTTTCTTTTTCTTTTTACTTATCAAGTATCCGAAATTTATTCACTTCACTAATTCGAGTATATATTGGAAAAATTCATTAAAAAGGATAAAAGCGCTTCATATAAAAAAGTTATCTATTTTTTAATTTTTAATTCAAAACTCTTCATTAAAAATAAAAAAAAATCCGATCGATTATTTCTAACTTTCCTTAATAAAAATAAACAAGAAGAATGAACTAAAAGGTGGAAATTCAATAGGTTTTGCTACCTTAAAGCTGCACTCTTGTCGATTATCATGTACTCTTCTTATTTTATGGGCTTACATTATTAGGCCTTTTGCAAATGATTAATGATCATACTTTAAATTTCTTAAAATTATAATTTAGCGGTAGAATCAGAATTTTAATTAAAGGAAATTAAAATATATGTATATATTGTGTCAAAGAGATTAAACATATTAATATATAAAATAAAAAACAATTTACTTTTAATTTAGTGATACAATCAGTATACTTTTTCAACTTATATATAACTTATGCAAACATTAGTTATATACTCTCTTTAATATCAAAATATGTATAACTAATATATGAAAAATCATCATATTAGTAATGCAAAGAATTTTAATACATACAATCATACATTAACACGGTTAAAGATGTATTTGTCCGTCAAAATTCTTTCCATTATATATGTAGATAATATTTTTATAGTTTTTTTCTTTCTAAAATTACTCAATGCATACTATTTTTAATAAATCAAACCAAATCAAACATTGCAAAAGAAATACAAAAAAATAATCAAATATATCTCTATACCATTACAAATAATTATTATACACTATCCCCTATACTTTGAATTCAAAATACTCCTTCCATTTTACTTTGTAACAAATTTACTTTTAATTCAACGAAAAATCACACGTCGAAGTTTAGAATTTAATAAAGGAAAAATTGTATATAATAGCAAACTATTAATTCAAATTAAATAATATAAATATAGTTTGATTTAATTGTACTGTTGCTATTTCACCTCTCTCCTGGTGAATCTCGCTCGCCACTCTCGTTCTCTCCCTCGCCTCTCTCATTTTTTATACAAACACAAGTGTATAAAGTGCATTTGTGTTTGTATAAAGCGAGAAAAAATTGTATATATACGTATATTTTCGTTCCCCTCTCCCAGATCTCTCTAGCCACTCTCTCAGATCTCGCTCTCTCACTCGCCTCTCTCACTTTATACAAAAACGCAAATGTATAAAATGCGTGAAAATTGTATATATACATATATTTTCGTTCCCTCTCTCCCCTCTCCCAGATCTTGCTCGCCACTCTCCCAGATCTCGCTCGCTCACTCGCCTCTCTCACTTTATACAATTGATCTTTTTGTATATGTATACCAAAACAGATTATATAACTGTTTTTTTTTTTTTTTTTGTATATGTATAGCGAATTATACATATATATGTTTGCTATGAAGCGCAATTATGCAAACTTTGCTATAACATACAAATATGAATTTTGTGTTTATTATATATGAAAGTTGCTCTTTAATAAACACCCGAATATTAAATACCCAATTTCCTTAGATCCTCACCCATTTAACCACCCGACCCGACCCGGCCCATTTTCTTTTCTTTTCATCTACATTTCTCTTTTGTGTCCAAATTGCAATTCACCCAAATAATTTCCCTGTAGATCTTCTTCTCCATGTGATGATTTGCTCTCTTAGGTCAGTTTTTTTTTTCTCCTTTTTCAAATTGGACAATAATTTCTATCTCCATTGGATTTGACTGATTGAAAGGATGCAATATCTGTTTTTTGCTTGTGATTCTGTATTGGATTTGTGCATCAATTTGCTGTATATGCTAAATTTGGTGAAGATAGTAAAACACAATCCATTGCTTTTATGAATTACTAGTTCAAAGCTATGGTGTGATTTAATAGATTTTGCAGAAGCTTAGTTAATTTTAGATGATGATACATACTTGACAGAAGTAAGGGTAATAATGGGCAACTCATTATGAGAAATCTCCATTTGGAAACAAATAGCGGATTCAGAATTTGAAGTTTATATGTTTAGATTTTAGGAAATGTAGCTTATTGAGTTCTGATATGATTATAGATATAATTGTTTTGGCCAAAGCTATTGGGTTCTGCCGAAACCGTAGTTGATACTTTAGTTGTGCCTCTGATTGGAAATTTTCAGTTATATCATCTTTCATATAGTTTTTTTTATCTTTTTTCTCCTTTTGATGATTTAGTTAATTTGAGATAAAGCTTAGGAGAAGTCTTTGTTTTTGCTAATTTCGGTATTTGGCGTTATGTGTTATTTAAGTTGAGGGTCTTTTGGAAACAACTCTATTTACACGAGGTAGAGGTAAGGTATGTGTATACTCTATCCTTCTCAGACCTCACTTGTGGGAATGTGTTGTGTATGTTGTTAATTTTGGTATTGATATTTTACTTATAATTGGATTTGGTCATATGAAACCTTATTGTTTTGTTATTTTCTAATCTAAAATGATTATGCTGGAAAATTGGTTAGTGTTTGAAGGCAATGATGCAGAGCGAAAATTCTGTTGAAGATTCGCTTCATATCCGCAAGCTGGAGGTTACTGACAAAGAAAAAGGCTTTATTGAATTGCTGAGACAATTGACTGTCTGTGATTCTGTTTCGGACGAGAAGTTTAAGGAGAGATTTGAAGAAATTGCGAAATATGGCGATGATCATTGTATTTGTGTGATCGAAGATGTTCGATCAGGGAAGATTGTTGCGACTGGAAGTGTGTTTATTGAGAAGAAGTTTGTGAGGAATTGTGGCAAAGCTGGACATATTGAGGATGTTGTGGTCGATTCGAGTGCTCGTGGGATGCAATTAGGTAAGAGAATTGTTGAGTATCTTGCTGATCATGCTCATTCAATGGGGTGTTATAAGGTAATCCTTGATTGCACTGAAGAGAATAGACCTTTTTATGAGAAATGTGGTTTTAAGAAAAAAGAGATTCAGATGGTTAAGTATTTTGTTTGATGAATATAATTTTGTAAGATTGTTGTTCCTAGCTTTTCTAAAAATACTGAGTTTATAATAAGGATAAATGGTTTGATAAGTTTGATTGCCATCATTCACGTGATCTTCTGTTTTGTTGTATGCCCTGTGGCTTTGTTTTGAGCATTTGTGGGATCGGGGGGACATAGCACAATTCTTCTTAGAGGAGGGTTGTTTGCCCGAGTGACTGTATAAGTGAAGTATTTGTTTTTGACCAGCGTGAACCCTTCTTCATTGATGCCAATTTCTCTGCAATGAGCATGAACATGTTGTTTCTCTGTTTTTTGGATCGGGGGGATATCTTGTCCTGAGATCATGTGTATTTTTGGATTGGATATTTCTTATTTAAATCTGCCTGTTGTTAATTCTCTAATACTGGGCAACAAGATATCAACTGACCTTGGAAGCATATCTGGAAAGTTAAAATACCATTCAAGCTGGCTTGCTTTCTTGGTTGGCAACTAAGCAAGCCTGCTTGACTCCGAACTCGGAAGAATCTGAAGAGAAAGGGAATCCTTATTCTGCAGATGCAGAGAACAATATCAATCTCTCTACATTGATAAGTTACTGTCTAGCTTTGGTACCTTTCTCGACCTTTTGCCTAAAGATCAAGCGTAGTAACTATCTAGTTGTGGTAACTATTTCTTTCCATGATTTTTCCCAATAGGATTATAGGAATATGCTGGAGCCTACATGTGATTTTTTGAATTGCTGAACAGAGACGAATCCAGAATTTAAGCTTTATGAATTCAATTTTTAAGGTTCTTAACGTTGACCATATTGTATTTTTGAAGCTATGGGTTAATATCTACTATTTGTTGTAATGTTTGTTGGAAGTGTTGGGTTCAGATGTATTTTTTCCTGGTGGTAAGTGAGTGCATCTACAAGAGTTTGGCGTAGTGTATAAAATAGTCATAATGAAAACAAATGGAACACAGAATAAAACAAAATGATCTTAATGCCACCATTATATTATAACAACAAAGCAGAAGCATTTTTCTTGCCAAAGCAATAAAATAACCCATAATTTATTAAATTCTTCATATAGCAAATTGTTTTCTAATATACATACACTACTCTTTTATTTTGTAGATAATTAAGGGTAATTCTATTGATATAAATATCCAGCATAAAGAAGATGCTAGGATACAAGAAAATACAACTGTATTTCAGGGTCATTAAATTCTGCTTTTTTGCTCTCAAAAATTCAATTCTTCCACTCTAAATGAGGGGAAGCCTGGTGCACGAAGCATTCCACATTCACCCAAGGGCCATGGAAGGGTTGTACCCAGTCAGGGTGGGTATAACGTAGACAGGTTGCCTTGACGCAAGTATCTAATTTCATGGCTTGAACTCATGACCTATAAGCATTCCCCTTCTTTCTCTCTCCAAATGACAAGCTCCACGCTCGGTTTGAGTCTTTGTTTAGCACTCTCTTGTACCAGCTTGGAGGAATTCCTTCGTGGTTCTAGGCATGGACTAGTGAAGTCCCAACACGGAGAAAAACATATCCAAGATTTGGGCAATGAAACTGATCTTTAAATGTAGAAACAGGTGGCTTGCATCTTCATTTTGATCTTCACACGAAGCGTCTATTGTAACTTTTGTCTTTCTATGACACCATCCCATATAGCAACTGATTAAAGCTCACAACGAGCCCAGAGAATTTGTAGAAATGCTTCCAATGCTACATGATGTGTAATCTCAAAAGTAGATTGGATCAACCTGAGGTGGAGGACATATCAGCCTCTGCATCACATAGGATCAATGAATTGTTAGATATAACACATGTAAGATGAAGTGTGTACTGGAGCTGGCGATGAAGCCTTTGATCAAGTTTTTCTACATGGCAATGTATAACACATTGCAGAGACCATCCATCACAAGGATAAAGAGAAAGCGTGAACGAGGATCTCCCTGTCTTAAGCCTCTCTAGGTAGGAAAGAAGCCATGAAGACAACCATTTATGAGGACGGAGAATCTAACTCTAGAAATGCTAAAAGAATTATCCAATTGATTCATACCATATAACGGTCTGCCACACAATATTTTGCTCCCGCATTTCACTGTTCCTCTTCCTTGGAGTAACAGTAAAATTGCCCCTGTATGACCTATAGGTCATAGGTTCGAGTCGTGGAATCAGTCACTGATGCTTGCATCAGTGTAGGCTGCCTACATCATGCCCCTTGGGGTGCGACCCTTCTCCGGACCCTGCGTGAACGCGAGATGCTTCGTGCACCAGGCTACATTGCTCCTCTTATCGAGCTGATGACAGATAAATATTAGGTCTATCTCTTCTGCAACATCATATTACCAACTGAAGTCTTACCAGTAATCTCCACATGAGCATGATCCGTTAAGGAAACAATGGAAACGATTATTATCCCGTAAGATAATTTCTCTCTCCGTTATCTCTGAGACAAGCTTGAAGAATGTATGGCAATCACCACAGATACGGAGATTTTTTATTATTCTGATAACATCACTAGGTTTAGTACTTAGTAAGCCAAATGCAAGCGCGAGCTTCTCACTGTGACAGCCCACGAAATGCTCCTTCTCCTCCTCTTCGATGTCAAATAGAACGTATTCTGTTTTTGGAACATAACCTTCCTCTCTTAACTCCTTGCTCAGTTCACCGAGTTTAACGTATATGTTATCTGATATTGGATGATATGTATCTCCAACGAGAAATTCATGAACTATTCCATCAATCTCTATCCAACTATATGCAGGAATCTTCTGCATTCTTCTCTCGTTCATACAAGACCTGATTTTTTCCGAATCATCCCATTTATTGTTAGATGCATAGATATTTGATAAATGAACATAGTTTCCAGAGTTCCATGGTTCCAATTCAATCAACTGCTTTAACACATGTTCAGCCAACTTGGTATCACGATGTAACCGGCAGCCACTTAACAGAGCTCCCCAAATGACGGCATTAGCATTCATTGGCATACTTTCGATCAACGAGTGAGCTTCATCCAGCAAGCCAGCTCGGCCTAGAAGATCAACCATACATCCATAATGTTCAATTGCTGGTTCCAAAGAGTACAAGTGAGTCATGCTCTGAAAATATTTGCGACCATCATCAACAAGGCCAGCATGAGTGCAAGCACAAAGGAGACCGATGAATGTGTTTCCGTTAGGTTTTATACCAAGTTTCTCTACTTGACCAAAACAACAAAAGGCAGATTTCACGTACCCGTGCATAGCAAGACCCGATACAACAGCATTCCAGATTACTCTATCCTTCACCAACATTTGTTTGAATATTTCCCAAGCTGATACCATCCGTCCACATTTAGCATACATATCAATAAGTGCTGTACCTAAAACAGCATTAGACAAAAACTCATTCATGTCCATCAACTTACTAGCCCATTCGCCAACTTCTAACGCTCCTAACCTTGCACACGCAGAAAGTACACCAACCATTGAATAGCAATCCGGCCTAACACTCTGTCGTTGCATCCTGTAAAACACCTCCAAAGCCTCTTTAGGAAGCCCATTCACTGCATAACCCTGTATCATAGCACTCCAAGACACAACATCCTTCTCTACCATCTCATCAAAAACCTCACGAGCTTTCGCCATTTCCCCACATTTAGCATACATATCAACCAAACCAGTATTAACAAACACATTCCTCCCCATATCCATCTCCACAGCGTACCTATGTATCCACTCACCAGCACTAACATCCCCTACCCGACTACACGCAGACAACACCCTAACAAGAGTAAAACTATCCGGACTCAAACCCATCTCCAACGACCTCCGAAACAAACCAATAGCCTCCTTAAACTTCCCAAAATCAATATACCCCGTCATTATCGCAGTCCAAGACACAACATTCTTCTCAGGAATATCATCAAACATCTGGTGTGCATCATCAAGAAATCCACACCTAGCATAAAAACAAACCAACCCAGTCTTCACAAACACATCATAATCAAATCCCCCTTTCACAACAAGCCCATGAGCCTTAACACCCAATTCAAAATTCGATAACCTCGTGCAAGATTTCAACAAAAAGGGAAAAGTGAAATTGTTGGGCAAGAAACCTTCATTTCTCATCCCATGGAAAAATTCAATTGATTGGTGAAAACAATTATTCGAAACCAACCCACGAATCATAGTATTGTAAAGAAAAATGTTGGGTTCTTGAGTTTGATTGAATACAAGCTTAGCATAATTTGGATTGTTGAAATTGTTCAAAGTAAATTTTAATAGTAAGTTTAAAAGATAGTTGTTTTGATCAAAACCTGTACGAATAAGGCGAGCATGAATGTGTTTAAGTTGATTGAAGGATTGGAAGCCATGAAAGAGAGCTGCTTTTAGCTCCATTAGAGCTTTGGGAGCAGCAGCTGAGAATGTTGCATTCATGGCTTCAACAACCATACGCAACAAATTACCTTAATTTTACCTAGTACCTAACTCTAATTATTTATATGGTGGTGTATATAACTTAAATTCATATTATTATGATGACAATATATATAATTTAAATTCATGTTATGGTTGATTATTATGATGATATATATAATTTAAAGTCATGTTATGGTAAAAATATTTTCGATGACGTAAATTCACTACATATGTTTGTTGTATGACTTTGCATGAACTCGTGAAGCTACAATATCTCTTTTTTGATATGAAGTAATCTCTCTTAATGTATTTATATAAAGTAAATTCAAATTAGTTAAATTAATTATCTATAAAAGTAGTAAATGTGAAAATTGCAATATAATGTATTTACTTACACGATGATTAATTTCCTAATTGAACATTTTTTCTAGCTTAATACTAAAAAAGTGAAATATTTTTCTTCATTTAAAACTAACCATTAACGAAATAAAGAAGCATCAATTTATCAACTAATTTCTTGATTCCCTTTCCATTTTCCTTGTACGCAAGTGGAAATGGGAAAGTTTATAGGGATCAAATGATTCTTCTTACCTAAACAAGATTGTTAACTGAACATGTCAGAGGTGAATTCAAGAATTGAAGTTTATACATTTCTACACCGACCACAAGGTAATAACATGAATAATAACTAGTGAATTCTTAGGCAAAAGCTATTGGATTTTTGGAAATCCTAAAATTACATTTACATCCGCTTGTGTCTGACCGGGCTACAAGTTGGGCATTTTTAGGAAAATTACTATACAAAGATCAGCACTAGGAGATGACAACAACAACTATGCCTTAGTCCCAAACACGGACCAAGAGAACGAAAAGATCAAAACAAACACATAACTAGATCCAACATCTACCTACATTACAACAGGTGTGTACTAGAGGGGTTTGCAAAGAAATGTTCCCTTGAAACTAACTTCGATTTCTTGAAATGGCTACCAATAAGACTACTCAGAATTGCTGGTGCTCCGCTTGGATTTGCCTGAGGAATCTTACGCGAAAAGATAACGTTATCTAGGACCATCATGTTTAACAAACTTCTGCAACTCTGAAAGACACAACAAGAATGTTTTAGCAGATGAGAAGATGTAAAAGTGTCTTGTCTATCTCATGCCCATAAAACATTACTACTACAACAACATAACTTAGTGTAATTCCACAAGTGGGATCTGGTGTAGGTAAAGTGTACACATACGTTACCCCTACCTCGTTGAGGTAGAGACCCATAACACATTATAAGCAAAAGGATTTGAAATATTGTTGAGACTTTAAGATCTCCATTACTACCAAAACTTAGATTTTCTTTGCTATCTACAGACCAAAAAAGTAGAACTATTAGGTGCCAGCAATTCTCTGCCTCAAGAGATACGGAGTCAGGATTTCAACCTTTTGGGTTCTGGATTTTAGAACGATGACTTCAAAGTGTTAATAACTAGATTCTAAATTTGATGTGTGCATATTTAATAAATTTCTCAACACAACTACATTATTCGAGGAGAAGCTATTGGTTTCGACCCGTAGCTGGGCTTCTAACTCCGCCCCTGTCCTAGGATCACACAATCTCACTAACTAGAAAATATCCCGGTATGTAGAAACTACAAGTATGGTAAAGAGATGGAACTTTGTTTATGTTTAGAAGGCACATCAGGGGTTCCAAATGCGCACTCAGAAGCAATAAATCTGGCTAGAGGAAGTCCCAGATTGGTATAATAGAAAACATGAAAATTTTGAGCAGCTCATAATTTATGGAAAGAAGGCCTTGGGAGAAGAGATCATTGAATTTTTATCATTTCTTGGGCAAGAACAATGATACCGCTTCATGTTACATTTTATCTGATAACCAACAGACTGAAGAAACAAGTCTGAGGAAACAGAAATAAATATCATACCTGAGGATTCAGAACATGCATGTGGCAGATAATATCACCCTGAACAATAATTAAGAAGTCAGTTTGAAACTAATAATATAAATTAGAAGTATCTGTGTATATATATATACATATATATTGCTACGAGGATGGATTATACATAAAACAGTCAAACTGAAAATGGATGTTTAAATTGGTATGCAGTGTTCATCAATGATCAAGATGAGGAAAAAGAATGACTCTATGATTCAATCATCAATGATTGAGTTCCAGTATTCATAAGGAAATGAATCCATATGACATGAAGTATAACAAATCGATATGAAGTGGTGTTCCCAAGAACATAGCACAAAATCTGTGAGAACATTGAAAAAGATAGAGAAGCAAATGAACCTAGCACTAAAGACTAAGAAAAATGAAAAAAAAAAGATTGTATTAACAACGAGAACTAGACAAAAATTAAGAAGAAATTCACTGATTTATTCTACAACCAACAAGGATCAATTGTCCCTAATATTTTGAAGCAATTCATTATGCACAAAATTAGAAAGTAATACTTCTAAATTGCACAGATTCACTGGTCATGATCAGGTATCTATGTTTTTATGTAAGTAAAAGGGTGTACCTCTTTTATTCCCGGATTTTGCATCACTATGCCAAGAACACGGCGTACAAGCCCCTTGTAGACACGTTCATTTGTAGTACCATCACCATTTAGCCAAGGCAATATTGGCTTGCACAAATGCAAACCAGTAGAGCGGAGATGATATGGTTCTTCTGGGTGATTTCTTGTGGGTGAACTAGCTTCAGTAGGTCGACAACCTTTTGCCTCATTGATGGTTTGCTTTTTACTTGAAGGTTCAGCAACCGCTTTAGGAAGATTAAGAATTGTGACTTTGTGTACCTTATCAGAATTCTGCAACTCCACATCTTTATGATTTTCTCCATTATGTGTAGCAGACTCTTCATATGTTTTAGTCTCAGAATCTTCACAAGGAGATGATGTAGCATCTTCATGAATAGCAGCCACTGGAATCAAAAAGTACTTGGAACGATATAAAGAATCAACCACCCGAATAGAGTCGTAAGCATTGACCTGCATTTTGTGGTGCCACTAGATGATTAGTTGAATAGAAGATGGGCCTTCTACTGCACTCTGTTCCATTCTCTATTAATTACATCACTAGCTATAGTGCCATCTTTCCTTAATCAAACCACATGTAAAACAAACAACTACAACAAGCGTAATACATAATGTTATGGGTTTTATTGAGTTATAGTGACTACCTCCACACAATATTGATGAAGCTGGTCAGCAGCGAATTAAGCATGTCCATCAATTTTATTCATAGAACACATGGCTCAATGTTATATTAATTCACAACACAAGAGACATACTAACACTTAACTGAGAAGAACACCAACACACCAAACTTAAACTGATGAGCAATCTACAAGTAATACAAGAATTTTGAAGTACATGATCATGACAACTATGCCAATTTGGGTGCCTAGTCACATGATTCATTTTTTAACCTACCAAAATTTTCCATATCACTAAACCAACTCAAGACATCAGGGAACTCATCAAAGCATTTTGGCCTCTCAACTCATATTTTCTTCTCTTTCCATCCCGTCTTTATTGTACATCATGCTTTAACAAAAAATCAGGCGATATATGGTAGATTCTTTATATAAACAACAATTTTCTTAATACTCCATATGTCCCATTTTATGTGGCACCCTTTGACTTGGCACGGTGTTTAAGAAAAAAAGGAAGACTTTTGAAACTTGTGGTCTAAAACAATCCTTACATATTTGTGTAGCTGAGTTTCATTTCATTAAGGGTAAAAGAGGAATTTAAAAGTTAAAATTGTTTCTAATTATAGTAAGGTGGCATTCTTTTTGGGACAGACTAAAAAGGAAAGGGTGCCACATAAAATGGAACAGAGGGAGTATCATTTGACACTTTAAACCGGCATATTCATGTTAAAACATACCAAGATATGCCATTATTCTAAATACAATACAATTTGGGGCTACGGGGAATTTCAAAGTAATATCCATCTGTTTTCAGGAGCAACCAGTCAGTGTCATATGAAGTAAATTCTCAAGATTCAAGGCTTAAGTGACAAGACAAACACACTACACAGAAAAGTAAAACACACAATGAAGAGACCTAGAGGAGTTTCAGGCAAAACTAGTTTACACTCCACACAAGTGAATCCACATTGAGCATACCATTACAAGTATCCGTTTTAAAAGCAAATGAACCAACAGCTTCTATTTCTTCTACAAGAAAGACTCTTTTTAAAACAATCCATTTACTAATATTTCCTATTCAGTAAATGAGTGAGAAGTCTTATTTCACAAAAATAACATCAGATAAACTATAACTGAGGATTTCATCAGAATTCTTTCATTAGTAACTCTAAGCAGGTGCATGAAACTTCATCAGATGGTGCAAAGAACAAGGGAAGATAGCTAATTGTTAATTCAGACGCACCTTCAAAACTCGTCCAAATGCTTCTAGCACCTCAATGACAGCTTCAGAAAGCTTTTTATCTGTAAAAAAAATAAAATAAATAGAAGTAATGAGTATTTAAATGGCGGGGTTAGAAGACCTTGTAGGTTTGTGGTTACAAACCTTGCATCTTTAGAATCCTCGAGATATCTTTCATGCACAAACCTTGGTCACCAGCCATTTGGATAGCTGAATAAACAGATCTAAACATTTCCGGATATACCAGAGAGTTCTGTTCCAGACAAGAACCAAAGGAACAAACACGTTCAGCATAGGTCGTCATGGCTTGCCATTGTGACTCGGTCGGAGAAACTGCGGTATATGGGACCCCGCTATCTTGAAGTTCATTTACTTGGTCATCTGAGTCGAATGAGACACTGCCAATATCAGTGGCTTGATGATCTTTAACAGATTGTGCACAAGTATAGTTATCACTGTCTTTGAGTAAATCCATAATTTTTATTCTTGAAAGTGTAGCATGCCTCAAGCACAACCTAATTCCTGGAAAACCTTTTGCCCGGCGTGAGCAAAGCTCACTATCACTAGCCATTGAAGTTTTCAGCTTTTTATACCTGTCACTGTCAG